TATATGCTCACCAGGCTCCCAAGCCTGACCCACTCAACTTTCTGTTTTACAGGTAGTGGACCCAAAGCATAATTTGGATGATGATGAGGGATTTTTGGATTATAGGCCATTAGTTGTAAATAACTGTTGTAAAGCTTATAATGTATTGTTTATGCTTTTTGATCTGTATCGAACATGACATCCCGAGTCTTCTAATGAAATACTTTTCTAAGAAAATGATTTGATAAATCTTTATCATATTTTTATTTTGGGAACAAATTCCGCAACACTTTTATGTAAAATATTACTCTGATTTTCAAACAAGCATAAACAAAATCGGTCTTTTCTGGCCGTGAAATTGGGGATGTCACAGTTGGTATCAGAGCATTAGTTTAAGCGAACTAGGAATTTGTAGGATTTCTAGACTTAAACTCAGAATGTTAAGCGATGATTGTGAGGTGTGAGCACTATTATATTTTAGGAAAGATACCTAAAATGTTTTTATGTGCTAAATGTTATGTGTTTGCCATACATGATATTATTTGTTCAGATTTATGGTCTGTTGCCGACCAGATCTGGAAAACCTTATGTGTGTAGGATTCTAAGCGTATGATTATGATATTAGAACTAACATGTAAACGTTTCAAAGTCTATAGTGAATAGAGATCTAAATTCACCCTATTCGGTGTATAGATCAAGATGACAAGAACCCGCAGTGGAGTCGGGGATTCAAATGGAAATAGAAATCAACCACCAGTACTTGAGCAAGTACCTGTTCAAAGAGCTGCACCAGAGCCAATAACGATAGCTGGAGTGCAAATGATGATTCAAATAATGTTGGATCATCAGATGGAGGAGACCAGGAGGTTGCTACAACATGATAGGGAAGAAACTACGATACCTGTTGAACAACCTGATTTGAATGAAGGGCAATCAGTAGGAGGGAACTACAGTGGGACTGTTGGTCAAGCCAACCCACCGATAGTCAGACGAAACAACTAGGATGGAGGAGGTGATGGACATGGATGCAAATACAAAGATTTCATGGCATCCAAACCACCGTGTCTATCCGGAAGTCCAACACCGGTGGAAGTTATAAATTGGATCTCCGAAATGGAGACAATGTTTGAAAGTTGTGAGGGCAGCAACAAACAGAAGACCGCACTTGCAACTCCTATGTTGAAATATGGTGTATTGAGCTGGTGGGAGTTACTAGCTGATTCGATGCCAAAGGGAGAAGCTAGCAAGATGTCTTGGGAAGATTTTGTGGTACAACTGAAATTGCAATACCGCTCTGGGCAGGATCTTCTGGAAATCAATAATGAGTTTCAGAATTTGAAGAAATGAAAAATGAGCGTTACTGAATACGTTGCTAGTTTCACTGAAAAGATGAAGCTTATTCCATACTTAGTTCCAACTGAACTCTCTAAGGTCAATAAGTTTACACAATGTTTACCAGTGGATTTTGGTCAAATGGTTAAGCAAGCAATCTGTAACGCCCGCAGATCCGGACTAGTCAAATTAGAGGCAATAGGGGTCGAAAACGACTTTTCGATAAAATATTATTTAGAATAAATAATCTTAACCAAGTTGTAGAATATGTCACAAGGTTTCCGTACATATAAATAACGCCGAAATCCAAGTTATAATGAAGAAGTTATGACCCGTCGAAGTTTCGCGATGGAACCGACATGGCACCGGGGAGCGTAAATAGTGAATTTACGATAGAGCGAGATTTAGCCTTAGAGATCTAAACAAAATTCGTAGAATATGTTAAACTAAGAACATCGATAAAAAGAACGCCCAAATTTGAGTTCGTATGAAGAAGTTATGATTTTTCGAAGTTTCGAGTTAGCAGTTTACAACCCGAAGTTTGAATATTAGATCGAGCGGTTTTTAGCCGACACGACCTAAACAAGAATCAAAGATCTCGTTAAGAGTAGCGTAACGAGAAAAAGATGGGTGAAAACGGACATCGAATGAAGAAGTTATGAGGATTTAACGGACCAATCCTGTCCCGATCTGTTAAAAATATAAAATTCAAAATCGAGTCAAAATTAGCCGACAAAGTCTAAACGAAAGTTGTAGAGTATGTTCCCACCTTCGCGTGGATATAAAGAATGTCGAAAACGGAGCTCGTATGCGAAAGCTATCATTTTTAGAAGTCGAGTAGGAAAATTGCAAAACCGAGATGACGTGGCAACATCTGGACCCTCCATCGCTGATCAGACCTCGCTTCGGATCATGCCACGAAGCCTTCGTATTACGACCCGCGTACGAGGTCCGGTACGCCCCGCGTACCTTCGGTCTTATCCGGGTCCTGTCCGAGTGCGAGCCAGCTGGAACACGCCTGGCAACCTTATCCGAACTACGCCCAGCGTAGTTGAGTGGTACACGCAACGTAGGTCCGAAGTTCGGCCCTATAAATAGGCTGCGAAGAGTCTCGGATTTTTCACTCATTTCTTCAACTCCTTCTCTCTCTACTTTCTCTCACTACCCCTCTAACCCCCCTAAACCCTAGATAAGGTCCCTAGCACCCTAAGGAAGCCCCGAGGCTCCCGGAGTTCCAAGAAAAAGGAGTCTTTCGGTTTCGAAACGCTGCTCCAATTAAGTTCTGGTTTTCGATAAAATTCGCTGTAAGTGTGCTACGCTTACGTAATTTTTAGTATAGCTTTCGAATAATTATAAGAATGTTATTAGGTCCTTAAAATAATTATTTGGGCTATTATTATGAGTTATATTGAGTGTTATTTAACACTTATATAATAATAATAATAGTCAAACTATTAATTGGTCGCGGTTATCGTTAGACTAAACCCTAGTGGTATTAATACTAGGTTTTATCGAAGGAAAGTTGTTTTGAGAATATCGAAGTGTTGTCCGAGTGTTTAGTCACCACCTTTCAAGTGAGTGCATAGTCTCTTTCATCTTACACATAGATATGAAGTATTTTATATAAACTACGTGCTATGTGTGCATATTATCTGAATACTTGCTGTCTATGATGTATGAATGTTTTATACATGTTTTAAATGATTTAAACTGTATACGTATCTTATATATACGAATATGTTGGGTATGACATGGGTAGATGAATGATGAGAGATAAAAGATGATGTGAGTAAACATTGGCAGCTATAGACTTAGTACCTAATAAACATTGGCAACTATGGACTTAGTGCCTATTGGACAAACACCGGTAGCTATAGATTTAGTACCTATTAGGAATTGGTAGCTATGGACTTAGTACCTATTAGATAAACACTGGTAGCTATGGATTTAGTACCCGATGAATAGACTATAGCAGCTATGGAATTAGTGCTTTATGAACGAACATTGACAACTATGGATTTAGTGCCAGTCCTATAACCCTGGAAGTAAGGGACTTCAGAATAAACGAATACAGGATATATGACTCTTAGGATAAATCCTTAAGAGTAAAGAAGATAATGGGGATGGGTAATTGGGTTGATTGTTTAAACATAATAATTATATTATTGTGGGTTGAAAACCCTATATACTCACCAGGTTTCCCAACCTGACCCATTCAGTTTATTTATATCACAGGTGTTGATATGTAGTCACATTACACTAAGAGATTTAAAGAGATGTAGATCACTAGTGTAAATAAATGTAAGTTATGTTTATGCTTATGTTTCTGTATTAACGATGACATCCCAAACTTTTTAAAATGAATAAAATACGTTTCTTCGAAAATGTTTTAATAACGTATTTATCATGTTTTTCTGGGAACAAATTCCGCAACATTTTTAATAAAAGAAGTACTCTGATTTTTATAAAGCATAAACAAAATCGGTTTTTTTCTGGCTGTGAAAATAAGGATGTCACACAATCACTGAAAAGATGATTCTTTTTTGCGCTACTGACATTCCAATCACATAGATCAGAACAAAATTGACAAGAAAAGAGTAGTCGACGGCCAGCCGGGTGCTAGCTGGAAATCGCCAGGGTTTTTCACTTATAGCTTGTCAATATGTTTTCATTTAGGGGGGGGGGGGGTTCGTTACTATTTTTTTTATTTTTTTATTTTTATATTTATTAATTTGTATTTAAATAAAATCTTTTTTAGGTAATTGCATATTCAGTTTTTAACTTTTTTTTTCTATTTTTTGTTTTATTATTTTTTTGTTGTTTTTTTAAAAAACCTTTTTTTTTATCAATATATACCCGGGTTTTTAGTTTTTCTACTTTTTTCGTTTTTTTTTTTTTTTTTTTTTTTTGAATTTAATAACAGTTTGAGTTTGTGATGTTTAACCATTATAAAATGTTTCGAATCATAACGATATTATTCATAATATATTTTACAATATATTAATGTGAATCATAAAAATTTGGATCACATAATTTTAGGATCATATCATTTTAATCATACTAATTTAAATCATATCATTTATGAATCATAGGATTTTGGATTATAAGTTTTGTACAATACAATATTTGGATAATTATATTTTTTAAATCATTTAATTTTGAATCATAAAAGATATAATAATTAAGGATAATAAAATATATGAATCAAAATATTTTTAGATTATAAAAAGTTAAAGATTATAAACATATTTGATCATAATATTTTTGAATCATAGATATTTTGAATCATCTCTAATTTGGACCATATTATATTCAACATTTTTTTAATAAACTTTTAATATTTTAAAATCAAGCTTGGTATCTAAAACACATTATTATTATTATTATTATTATTATTTTAAAAATTCTTGTTACAAAGTCATTAGAATAGTGAGTAGAAGTATTCCTTAAATTTTTATAATTTTTGGAGATTTTTTTCTAAGTTTTTTTATAATAAAAAAATTATATACATTTTTTCAAATTTTCATGAATGTTCTTATTTTGTAGAGAATTAAATTTCAGAACTTTTGTTTTTTTAGATTTTTTTTCAAAGGAAAAAGGTTATGATCGAAAAACTAAACGGATAGAAAAAATCCACCAACTAATAAGGGTTGGACACTTGTCATGCTGGGTGGGGCACGTGTTAGTGCATGGAAAGACCACATGGGGTAATTTTTTTTCTTTTTTGTTTTAATATTTTTTGCTTTTGTCACTTGTATCCTATAAACAATTAACTTTCCACAAAAATTATCAAAATATCGTAATTAATTACAAAAATATCATATAATCTCATGGGATTTTGACGATAAATAAAATCAAATATTGAATATATATATAAGTTTTTTTAAAAGAAAATATTTTTTCTTTTTCAAGTTTTTGTAAATTAACAATTTTTTTCCTAATGCCTCATTTCTAACTACTTTTTAATTTTTTTTTTCAAAAAGTGCTCCATTTCGGGTTTGATATTTAAATTCCAAATTTATTTTTTGTTTTTTTCTTCCATTTAGTTTTTGAAAATATCTTGATTTTTGTCTGAAAATCCATTTCTAAGTGTTTAATATCATCATTTTCAATAAAATATCTAATTTTATGTACTATTATCGTATATTATTCATATTACTATATTTGGTTAACTTTTCGTTAAATTTAAGTAAAGAACATATTTTTTTTTCGAAATTCATAAATTACTTATCTGATTTCGGATTTGTTCTTGAAAGTATGAAGTTTTTTTTATTTATTAAATACGAAATTTTAATCGAGAATCTGAAATATTGGTTTGGAATCTATAATTCTGTTTCAGAATCAGTTAAAAAATATTTTTTCCTTGTTTTAGACAAATGATTATTTTTACTAAAATATACTATATTATTTTATTCTAATAAATATTAAAAGTTGGTTAGGTTACTAATTTTCCATTATCTAAGATTTACCATAAAGTATTTACAGTGGACCTGCGTGCAGGCTAACTAATCCCAACCATCTCCGTTTGAGAAAGCCCCCCTGTACAGAGAGGGAGAACAGTCGTTGATCATAAAAGATCGAATTCGAAGCTGCTCTCTTTGGGTTCAAAAAGGAAATACCCAGGCTCACGTTATCAGTCCATACCCACTACCCGCTTACATTAGCACCAAGCCCTCTTATCAAATCGCAATGCCAGCCCTTAGCTTCTTATCCTGCGCACCTCCTCCGCCTTCTTCTCCAACAGGCTTAGGGTTTCTTTTTCTCTCTCTCTACTCCCAAATAAAATTCATCCTTGTCTTCACAACCCTACGGGTTCACTTTCCTTCTTGTTCTTCTTCAGACTGCCGCTTTCGAACACCCTATGGACTCCGATCGCCATATCAAGAACTCGTATAACTATTCGAATCTCTTCAATCTTGAGGTATATATCTCTATCTCTCTCTACTTTTTTGAAATTTTGTTTCGCAACTTTCCCAATTGAAAATTACTGTTGTTTAATTCAATTGTTGCTGGATGGATTCACTTTACTGGAAGTTAGGTTCATGTGTTTCAAGTTTCTTTAAGTAATTATGGGTTTTTATTTATGGTATTATCTTTTCCGGTTTGTATTTGTAGTCTCTGACGAAATTTCAACTACCTCAAGGTGATGAGTTTGATTATTATGCCAATAGTAGTCAGGGTGAGAGCAGAGGTAGCCGAGGTAGGCACTTGGTTTCTCAACAGATGTTCAGTAGAATTACAATTGCCTGTTTCAGATTATCTTTCTTACCACTATCTGTTTACTTCACAAATGCAATCAATTAGTTGTACCCAGTGGTTGAATCATTGAATCTTGACAAAGTTTAGAGTATTTGTGCATATTGAAGTAAAATGTACATGGTTTGGATATCATCAGGTGGACCAATGACTGACAGAAGTAACGGAATGATGTTGGAAAAGAGAAAGAGGCGAAACACATACAGCAGTGATGAAGACCATGAAGGCAGTTATGACACATACTTCTCTGAAGAGCAATATAGGGCAATGCTTGGAGAGCATGTTCATAAGTACAAAAGAAGGCATAAAAGCAATAACTTGCCAGCTTCTGCTTCCACCCGAAATGGAATGTCTGGCATGGAGATTATTAGTCATGGATCAAAGGACCATAAATCAGTGAATGGGCGCTCAAGAGGGGGACACAAAGAAGCAGGTTTTGCTGCAGAATATAGCATGGAGAGGTTTGTGTTGTGTTAACTGTTTGTTTTTGTTAATTTGTTATGATACTAATATGGTAATATGCAATATGTCTCAGCTCTTTACCTCAATTTTCAGGTCATTTTCTGAACCTGGTTATTTGGATATTGGGGATGGAATCACTTACAAGATTCCTCCAACATATGAAACATTGGCTACCTCATTAAACTTGCCTAGAACTTCAGAGATTCGAGTGGAGGAGTTTTATCTCACAGGTACCCTTGATTTGGGGTCCTTAGCTTCAATGATGTCTGCAGACAAAAGACTTGGCCCCAAAAGTGGAGCAGGGATGGGTGAGCCTAGGTCTCAATATGAGTCTCTTTGGGCAAGATTAAGTTCCCAAACTTTAAACAACTCCCCTCTGAAGTTCAGTCTTAAAGTAAGTGATGCTGCATTGGATTCATATTCTGCTCCTGAGGGAGCAGCTGGTGGTTTTAGGCGTTCTATCATGTCAGAAAGTGGAGTGCTACAGGTGCATTATGTGAAGGTCTTGGAGAAAGGTGACACATATGAGGTTTGTATGCTGCTTTTCTATGGTCCATTAGGATTTGTTGACTCATGTTTCTTGTTGTTCTTATGTTTCTTGGAATTGTTTGACCTCCAGATTATTGAACGTAGTCTACCCAAGAAACAAAAGGAGAAGAAAGATCCATCTATGATTGAGAAAGAGGAGATGGATAGAGTTGATAAATATTGGGTGAACATGGTCAGAAAAGAGATACCAAAACATCATAGGTTTTTCATCAACTTTCATAGAAAGCAATTAACCGATGCAAAGAGGTTTTCTGAGACATGTCAAAGAGAGGTAAAAATGAAAGTGAGTAGATCACTTAAGTTGATGAGGGGTGCTTCGATTCGCACAAGGAAACTTGCTAGGGATATGTTGGTGTTTTGGAAGAGAGTGGATAAAGAAATGGTGAGAAAACTTACTCAAAAATCTATTAGACATATGAATCTTGTAAAAGAAAGTTAAAAACTTTTTTTCCCTACAGGCTGAGGTGAGGAAAAGAGAAGAAAAAGAAGCTGCTGAAGCATTGAAACGTGAACAGGAGCTTCGTGAAGCCAAAAGGCAACAACAGAGGCTAGATTTCTTGTTATCCCAAACAGAACTCTATGGTCACTTCATGCAAAACAAGCCAACTTCTCAGCCACCTACTGAAGGGGACAAAGTTAATGAATCAGAAGTTGGTGAAAAAGAAGAAGATCCTGAAGAGGCTGAGATGAAAATAGAAGCCTTGAAAGCAGCTCAAGATGCAGTCTCCAAACAGAAAATGATCACAAGTGCATTCGATGATGAAATTTTGAAGTTGCGTCAAGCTTCAGGCACTCAGGACCCTGAACAACAAGATTCAGTTGCTGGATCTAGCAACATAGATTTGTTGCATCCGTAAGTTCCTTTTTTGCCCTTTTCCTTACCTGAGTTTGTTCATCTTCTATTCTTCTTAAATGGGTACCTCTTGAATATTCTTTCAGATCAACTATGCCAGTAGCATCATCAGTACAAACACCAGAGTTGTTTAAAGGTTCTTTAAAAGAGTATCAACTTAAAGGTCTCCAATGGCTTGTGAATTGTTATGAGCAGGTAATAATCTATATATCATATATGTTTCATTTCTGATTTCTGATTACTCCCCTCTTTTTTACTGACCTGTTGACTTTTGTTGACTCAAAGGGTCTGAATGGTATTCTTGCTGATGAGATGGGACTTGGAAAGACCATCCAAGCAATGGCGTTCTTGGCTCATTTGGCTGAAGTAAGTAAACTGTAAACTATTCACTACCTGAAAAAAAATCTCTGATATCTACTGTTTAATTGTAATAATATGTTAACATGAAATGATAATTTGCAGGAGAAGAACATATGGGGGCCATTTCTGGTTGTTGCTCCTACTTCTGTCTTGAACAACTGGGCTGATGAAATTGGACGATTTTGCCCTGACTTAAAAACACTTCCTTATTGGGGAGGTATTCAAGAAAGAACAGTACTTAGGAAAAACATCAATCCAAAGCGTCTTTATCGTAGGTAATAACTCTTCTGTCATCATTTCTTTACATTTTTATCAATATTTCTTTTTGTTTCACATAATTTTTTACTTTACAGGGATGCTGGATTTCACATTCTCATTACAAGCTACCAACTTCTAGTATCAGATGAGAAGTATTTCAGGCGTGTGAAGTGGCAATACATGGTATTGGATGAAGCTCAGGCTATCAAAAGTGCAACCAGGTAAGACTTAAGAAGATTCATATGTGATGTGGACAAGGGTGTTTTAGTAATTTCTCATTTCTATTTGTTTTGATTATGGCAAACAGTATAAGATGGAAGACACTACTCAGTTTTAATTGTCGGAATCGTCTGCTTCTAACTGGAACACCTATTCAGAACAACATGGCTGAGTTGTGGGCCCTTCTTCATTTCATCATGCCTACTTTATTTGATAGCCATGAACAATTTAACGAGTGGTTTTCTAAAGGGTATGATTTAAAATCTTTTTTTTTTTTTTTTTCTTTTATATTATTCCATTAGTAAAATTGCTTCATGAATCCTGATACTTCTTCACCTTGTACAGTATTGAAAACCATGCAGAACATGGTGGGACTTTAAATGAGCACCAACTTAGCAGATTGGTAATTAATAAACCTGTTCCTGTTCACCTTACTTTTAAGTTCTTAATGTTCATGAGGTGCTTATTTTTTTGTATTTATATATATTTTTTCCAGCATGCAATTTTGAAGCCTTTTATGTTGCGGCGAGTTAAGAAGGATGTGGTGTCCGAGTTGACTCGGAAGACTGAAGTTACAGTCCATTGCAAACTGAGTTCACGACAACAAGCTTTTTACCAAGCTATAAAGAACAAGATATCACTTGCTGAGTTGTTTGATAGTAATCGTGGACAACTCAATGAGAAAAAGTTCATGAACTTAATGAACATTGTCATACAATTGAGAAAGGTAATCTTTTTTTTTTTTACCCTCTTCCAGAAAACACATTTCTTATTCTGTTTTGACTTTTTTTTTTGACTCTTAATGTTCTTATTTGTACCTGTGATTACAGGTTTGCAATCATCCTGAATTATTTGAGAGAAATGAAGGAAGTTCATATCTTTATTTTGGAGATATCCCAAATCAACTTCTTCCACCTCCATTTGGTGAACTGGAGGACATTTACTATGCTGGTAGTAAGAATCCTATTACATACAAGGTAATTTAATAAATTACATTTTTGGTCCCTGAGTATTGCTGTTTTTTTTTTTATTTTTAAATTTGTAATTTTATGCGGATATGATTTTTTAAAAGGGTCACTTGCTAATCTTGTTTACAGGTACCAAAATTAATATACCAAGAAGTGGTGCGAAATTCAGATATCTTTTTATTAAGAGGCAAGCATGGGATCAATAGAGAATCTTTTGAGAAGTATTTCAACATATTCTCTCCGCTACACATTCACCAATCCATATTTGAGCAACAAGACGAAAATGCCCCTTGTAACGGATCATTTGGGTTCACTCGATTGATTGACATGTCACCATCAGAAACGGCTTTCATAGCAAATGCTACTTTGATGGAGAGGCTATTGTTTTCTATCGCAAGATGGGATTGGTGCTTTTCAGATGAGATAATGGCTGATGATGATGATATTGAGTACAATAGTATTGAAAAGGGAAAAGTAAGGGCAGTTACAAGAATGCTATTAATGCCATCAAAGTCAGAAAAAAATGTTCTTAAGAGAAGACTTGCAACGGGACCCACAGATGATCCTTTTGAGGCGTTGGTAATCTCACATCAAGATAGACTTGTATCCAATGTTCGCCTTCTTCATTCAGCCTTTTCCTTCATTCCACAGATAAGGGCACCTCCTGTAAGTGTTTTGCTTTCAATTTAATTAATGTATCGAGCGATTAAAAAAGAGTATTAATGTTTTTTTTTTTTTTTTTGATGTGATTGGTAGATTGATGCGGAGTGTCCAGATAGGGATTTTGCTTACAGAAAAGGTGAGGAATTACATAATCCTTGGATTAAGAGGGTGTTGCTTGGATTTGCGAGAACGTCTGAATCAAATGGACCTAATAAGCCAAATGATGGTGCTATTCACCATTTGATACAAGAAATCGACAGTGAACTACCTGTTGTACAGCCTGCTCTTGAGCTCACTCACAAGATCTTTGGTTCTTGTCCACCCATGCAAAGTTTTGATCCAGCCAAGATGCTCACAGTAAGATTATTATTATTTAACAATAACATTGGTAATTATTATTTATTCCTAACTTGAATTGATGGTATGGTGATTAGGACTCAGGGAAGCTTCAAACACTTGATATACTGTTGAAGCGGTTGCGCGCAGGAAATCATCGTGTTCTCCTGTTTGCTCAAATGACCAAGATGTTGAATATCATCGAGGTATAGTATCAGCATCATCAACTAAATTATTATTCTTTTTCTTTTCTAAAGTGGTGATGTTTTGATGCAGGACTACATGAACTACAGGAAGTACAGATATTTAAGGCTTGATGGATCCTCTACCATAATGGACCGTCGGGACATGGTCAAAGACTTCCAGCTACGGTGAGAATGAATCACAGAATCACTCATTCCATTCCATTCCATTCCTCCATTCAGTTCATTGAGTTACTAAGTGATTCCATTCCGCTATAATTGAAATGTAGGAATGATATCTTTGTATTCTTGCTGAGTACAAGAGCTGGTGGGGTGGGGATCAATCTGACAGCAGCTGACACAGTCATTTTTTATGAAAGTGATTGGAATCCAACCCTTGATTTACAAGCCATGGACAGGGCTCATCGCTTGGGTCAAACCAAAGATGTTAGTTTTCTTACTTAACTGTTGTTTTTATTTTACCAAAATAACCCTATCAGTAATGTATGTATGTTATATGTATATGTAGGTTACGGTGTACAGGTTGATATGCAAAGAAACGGTTGAAGAAAAGATTTTGCACAGAGCGAGCCAGAAAAGTACAGTTCAGCAACTTGTGATGACTGGTGGTCACATACAGGGTGACATTTTAGCCCCTGAAGATGTTATTTCCTTACTCATCGATGATGCACAAATGGAGCAGAAGCTTAAAGAAATTCCAGCTCAGGTACTGTATATAGTATATATAAAATAATAAATCATACATAATTATTGTTAATATGTTATTTTATAAATTATATGAAATATGTAGGTTAAAGATCGACAAAGGAGAAAGGGTGGGACGAAAGCGATACGGATAGATGAAGAAGGTGATGCACGCCTGGAAGACATTACGGATCCTGAACCTCCATCGGATCCGTTCAACACCTCCTCTCCTTCTGAGAAACCAAGCTCCTCTAAAAAGGTAGGTTGAAGGCTATTTTGGTCTTTTCATAAAAAAAAACAACATGAAACATGAAACATGAAATTCCATCATATTATTTGCAGAGAAAAGGGAATACAGAGAAAGGGCCTGCAAAAGCAAGGGGGGCTCAAAAAGGTTCTAAAAACCCAAATTCAACAACGGAGGACGTTCAACGCCAGAAACCCAAGAGACCAACAAAGAGTGTAAATGAGAATCTTGAACCCGCATTTACAGCTGTGTCTCAAGATTAGAAAAATTCCATTCCATATTTATATAAATGCAAATGCACCGCTCCTTTTTAAAGCTCCAGAATATAAGGTATAAAAATTAAAAACAAACATCAATCTCCAGTCATGTCACAAAAACAACATAACTAACAAATTTGTCCATTGGATCAAGACTCTGTGTCCCACTTACATCTCTCACTCCAACGCCGGTTTGTATCAATCTTTTGCGTATCATACAATTGGCACAGATTTTGAAAATAATCTCTAACTTTTTCTGCCCACAAAATTATAAGATACGCTTGTACAGGTAATATGTACTTTTTTTTTTTTTTTTTTTTTTTTTAAAAGTTTGTCTGATCGACATGTTACTACTACTCCACTTGGAGCAAGAAGTGTTGGTTTCGTGTACTGTACATACGATTTATTAAGCTTGTTTTGATCCAATGCCGATGATGATAAAAAAAACATTTAATTTTGATGACATTATAAATAAACATTTAATTGATATCAAGTTCGGTTTGATAGGCTTTCTCGATACAGGCTCAACTCAATCAAGTTCGACTAGAAAAAAAGATTTCAAGTTCAGTTAAATTGGTTGGGTTAAGGGTGAAATCGCCAACCCGTTAAAAAATTTTAAATATATTTTTATTTATATTTATTTACTATTATTTAATTGATTATTATATTTTAATGACTTCATATTTCTCAAAAAAAAAAAAAAAAAACCCGTGAGTTAGTTTGGTCTCTACTGTTCACCTCCACAAGCAAACAGTAACCATAAAATCTGAATCGTATCTCGTATTCATACCATTCGCCTCAAGTTTTGATACTTTCACCTTCACTTTTGTTCCATATCAATGTTGAAAACTCTAACTTGCTCTAAATCTAACCCTAATTATTCGAGTCTCGACTTTCACTTGCAAGCTTCAAGGATTATTTGATTATAAAGTTTTTTTTAGAAATTTAAATGGATCAACTTGGGTTCATATAGTTTGCTAAATAGGCTGGGATGAAAAACAATAAACATGTTAACCAGTTTAATTTTTACTAAAAAAGTTAGATTGAGTTGGGAATTTTCAACCTATTTATTTAAACATGTTGGGTTGGATAAATTTTTTTTAACCCATTTGATTAAATATATTAATCCGATTATAACTCAACCCAACTCATTGCAACCCTTATCCAGAATGCCATAATCTATCCGGAATACGAAGAACTGGTAGGAATAGCAAGGTTTTATTGTTTGCTGTTTGTATATAGTGGTATTGTATATTTCATTTAAAAAAAATATTAGTTTGCATTCAACCAAATGGTACGCATTTTTATCGCAGTTTTCATTATCAATTGCTGTGCCATATCTATTTAGTAGAATCTGAAATGATATGTGTGCAGGTTAGACAATGGGGTCTTCTTGATAGAACCATGTTAATTTTTTTAACAACTTCATATTATAAAAAGAGCCTCTAGTAGGCCAAAAATCAAAAGATTACAAAGAATATGCATTGATTGAGTTTTTTAACCAATCAAACCCAAGAGAAAACATTTTTCCGATTTCTATAAACAGTCCAACTAAACAAGTAATCTCTAATAAAATAAAAAATCTATTACTTTTTATTCTTCTTTCCACCAAACATCACATCATTCAGAAAACAACAAAGCATCCACTATGTAGTAGAATCTACTATCGTCACCAAGATCATCATTTTTTCTTGTATAACGCTGATGCATCCATCAAAGCTATGAGATCTAAAACTTACCCTTGAATATTAATAGAAACATCAACCAATCTTACAATCTCATTCCATGTTCTGGCCGTCACTTCACATTTCAAGAAAAGGTGATTCAAGTCTTCGGAGTATATGTAATAGTCTAGGTCAACCTTTGTAACTTGTTTTGAAATTATAAAAATGTATTATTTGAGTATTATGTGCTTTTACATAATTATTATGATTTAATGAATTAAAGATAAAAAATAAGTGTCGAAAATAATTATTAGATAAACCCAATATCTATGAAGGAAGTTATAGTGGTTGAAGCAAGGATTCCGGAGATATAAAGAATACCGACATCCGAGTTATAACGAAGAAGTTATGACATGTCGAAGTTTCGCGACAGAACCGGCACGACGTTATGAGACGTAAAAAGTGAATTTACGATAAAATGATTTGCCTTAGCGATCTAAATGAAAGTCGTAGTATACGTTAAATCGAGAGCGTGCATAAAAAGAATGTCCAAATCTGACTTCGTATGAGGAAGTTATCAATTTTCTAAGATTTGGCTTAGCAGTATGCAGCCTGGAACTCTAATTTTAGATCGAGTGATTTTTAGACGAAAAAACCTAAACGAGAACCAAAGATCTTCTTGATAGTAGCTCAACGGTAAAAAGACAGACGAAAACAGACGTCGGATGAATAAGTTATGAATTTTTAACGGACTTTTCCTATCCCAGCCTGTTAAAAATATAACTATAAAAATAAAGTCAAAATTAGCCGACATAGTCTAAACAAAAGTTGTAGAGCATAATTTCACCTACATGTGGATATAAAGAACGTCAAAAACAGAGTTAGTATGCGAAAGTTAAACTTCGAGGCTGGTCCGAGGGAGTACGCCCAACGTACCGAAGGAGTACGCCCAGTGTACTCGTGTACGTGATTCAGAGTCAGTCACCCTCCCTACTCCTTTGCATGAGAGCCACGTGTCATAGCCTTGACGCGTCTGAACTGATCCACTTCGTACGCCCAACGAAGAGAAGTGCGAAGCAGTATGCCCCGCATACCTGGAATTACGCCCAGAGTAATGAGGAGCTTCGGTCTCCTATAAACAGGATGCGAGACTGCCCCGAAAATGGTTACACGTTTTGCTCTTTTTCACCTTCTACTTTCTTTTTACCTACACTAAATACCCCCAAGCCTATTATATCATACTAGCACCGTAAGCAAGTCCCGAAGAGCCCAAAGATCCCGAGAAAAGAGTTTTTCGAGACGAAACTCTACCCGCATGAAGCCAGGTTTTTGAGAAAACATCTCGGTTTCATCAGATTAGACTGTTTTAAGGGACAAAGTGTTGTCTAACCGCCGTCTTATCATGTGAGTGTGTAGTCATTTTCATCTTACACATAGATATAGAGTATTTTCTATAAAATATGTGCTATATGTATATATATTGTTTGTTTATTTGAGATGAGTGTTGAATGAATGTTTTATACATGTTTTAAAATGATTTAAACTGTATATGTATTTTTATTTACAAATATGTTGGGTATAACATGGGTAGATGAAATAGTTGGTGTGTGTTAAAATGATGAGAGGCCTCTATGTTGTTGTTGTTGTTGATCTAGTCATCTAGCGGAGTATAGATGACGACCACGAACCTTCCTAGACTGTCCAGTGGAATGCTGGCAGGCTCGTAACCTGTAGGTGTTTGTGAACGATGTGTTCATTGGTGTACTCCATCCCCCTCGTGGTTGCCTTAAGGACATGTATGGTTGAGGAATCCCCTTAGCAGTAGTGTCTATCATGATGATAATCCTTAGACTAGGTCCCTTTTGATAGGTGTTTAGGGACGTAAAGTGAGGATATCGGGAACGGGTATTATGAATATTGTTGGTTGATGAAATTAATAAATTTATTTATTGTGGATTGAAAACCCTATATGCTCACCAGCCTCCCAAGCCTGACCCACTCAACTTTTTATATTACAGGTAATGGACCCAGAGCATAGTTGGATGATGATGAGGGATTTTTGGATTATAGACCAGTAAATGTAAATAACACTTGTAATGCCTATAATGTAGTGTTTATGCTTTTGGTCTGTATCGATGTGGACATCCGAGCTTTTGTAATAAAATGAAAAATACATTTTTTAAGAAATGCTTTGATAAATATTTTTATCATATTTTGTTTTGGGGACAAATTCCGCATATTTTTATTGGAGAGATTACTCTGATTTTATGTTAAAAAGCATAAACAAAATCGACCTTTTCTGGCCGAGAAATTGGAGGATGTGACAGTTGGTATCAGAGCATTAGTTTAAGCGAACTAGGAATTTGTAGAATTTCTAGATTTAACTTAGAATGCTAAGTGATGATTGTGAGATGAGTGCCTACCATATTTTAGACACGAGCACTATTATATTTTAGGAAATATACCTAAAATGCTTTTATGTGCTAAATGCTATATGTTTGCCATATATGCCATTATTTGTTCGAATCTATGATCTGTTGCCGACTGGATCTGGAAACCTTATGTGTTCAGGGTACTAAGCGTATGACTTCGATATTAGAGCTAGCATGTAACGTTTCAGAGAGATAAGGAGAATTTAAATATCTATCGTGAATGAAGATCTAAATTCTCCTAATTTGATGTATATATAATAATGGCAAAAACCCGACGTGGAGCCGAAAATGCAAATAGAAATCAGCGACCTCAACCCCAAGTGATCGAGCAAGTGCCTATAGTAGAAGCTGCACCTGAGCCAATCACAATGGCCATAGTACAAACGTTCATCCAGATGATGTTGGATCGCCAAATGAAGGAAACAACGCGTTTACTTCAACAGAACCAAGAGGAACTTTCGGTGCCTATTGAACAGCCCGAGCTGAATGATGGACAATCAGAAGGAGGAAACTACAGTGGGGCTGTTGGTCAAGCCAACCCACTAATAATTAGACGAAACCATCAGAATGAAGGAAACGAGGGACGTAAATGCAAGTACAAGGATTTTATGGCATCCAAACCAACTTGTCTATCTGGAAGCTTGACACCAGTAGAATTCATGAATTGGATCTCCAAAATGGAGACAATGTATGAAAGTTGTGAGTGTAGTAATAGGTAGAAGACCGCTCTCGCAATTCCTCTGTTAAAATCAGGAGTACTGAACTGGTGGAAGCTACTAGCTGATTCGATGCCTAAGGGAGAAGGGAAGAATGAGCGTTTCTAAATACGCTGTAAGTTTTACAGAGAAAATGAAGCTTGTTCCATACCTAGTTCCAACTGAACTCTCCAAGGTTAAAAAAATTTCCCACGGATTACCAGCAGACTTTGGTCCAATGGTTAAGCAAGCAAGCACTTTGAAAGCCCCCATCTGGGCTGCGAAGAATGTGGAGACCCAGATATGAGAGAGGGGTTTGGAGAGAGCGTAGGTTGGTGAGAAAAGGAAATTTGATGGGTCATCAAATTTCAGCAATAAGAACAAGTTCTCAAAATCTGGTACGAAGAAGTCCGGAGGAGGTGAAGCCTGTAACGGCCATGTTTCCAAGCTAGGCATTTATGACAATGTAATAGTCTAGGTTAGCATTTGTAACCCAATTT